ATCAATTAATAAAAAAATTAATTTTATTTAATAAAACTAAATTAAATTAATATTTAATGAAATTAATTAATGAATAATTAATTGTTCGGGTATATTTGGGCTTATTACAAATCGAAAATTACACAGCCACATTTTACATTAAACACGAGATATGAATGAGAGATAACGAATCAACTAGAGATACAAACCGAGCACGAATCCTTATTGGCGCGACCAGCACATAAGAAACTATCGACTATACCACCCGGTGCTGCTGCTCCATATTTTAATTTGCACTCGCTGTTCGACCAAACTGGTACTGAAACTTCTTGCAAAATTGCTGGTTGTGGTCCACCTAAATGAATATAATATTAAATATCATGTATTTTTCTCATACAAGAGATATTTTTTAAAGATTTAACTCATGAATAGTTATACTATAAACGTGGTTGTATTATAAATAACTATGCAAATCGATTGCGTAAAATGTAAAAGATAAAGGAGAGTACTTGAGAGAGTACATGAACATTAATTATATATATGTTATTCTAAATTAAAACAAAGGTCTGTTTTTTTTATGTGACCGCTCGTTGAACTGGCTAGCGCGTTAAAGACATATTAGTGTAAAAATCTTACTTTCTCTCAAAGAACCCCATCCTATAACCGTCGCTGTCTTGCCTTGATACAATTGTGATCCGCTAGGTAGACAGATAGGTCGGATTTGTTCCGTAAATTCCACAGGTTCGCTCAACGTGAGGACCGCCACGTCGTTATAGAGCGTACGTGAATTGAAGTTTCGGTGCCTCACGACTCTCTTTACGCGTTTCTCAATGTGACGGATCTCATTGTTCGTTTTAATATTATAATCACCGAGACGTACTGTTAACCTCGCGACATCCCAAGAATTCATGCTGGAACATTACAATGTGTTTGTCGGTAAAAAGTCGGATATTATTTCAATATTACTGATAATGCAGTTTAATCGCAATCTCTTCATCCGTAATGAAAAAATGTTTTGGATATAGATCTATTTTTTTAGTTAAAAAAACACTAAAATTGTTTTAATTTAAGAAATAATTGATATATGAATTGGACTTACTTTACGACACAATGCGCCGCTGTCAATATGTGGTGCTCATCGATGAGCGATCCACCACAAAATTGACGGCCAGCATTGAAAAGCGCGGCGATCCACGGCCATTCGCCTGGATCTGCATTCTTCCCACCCACGATGCGTTCCTGATCTTGATTGCCGTTCTTGGCACCGCACTGCGATAGATTATTGCCGCCGGACATGGGAGATTTACTGGTAGTCGACATGCTCGATGAGATTGGCCACCAGGTTGGCTTCTTCGTCGGCCATGTAGTAGCGACACCCGGTTTTTTTGAACTCGTAGTTATCGGTTTCAAGGTCGTGGACTGCGTCGGTAGATCGGACGAGGGTGGATGAGTCGGCAGTGGCGGTATCGTGTGATCAGGCGGATGTGTGGGAATTGGCGGTGGCCAAGTAGGCGCAGCCTGAGGACGTGCTACCCCGTTCTCTTCGCCTTTTTTTTTATTATCTTCGATCTAAAATAATTTCAGTATCTGATGAACAAAAGAAAAGCGAAAAAAATATTTGCAGAGATAATAAATAAAAATAATAAATAAAAGGGGATATCGATCACGGTTCTTTGGGTCGAACAAAAGAAAAATTAACATGCATGAATGAGTAATAAAGCGAGTCATAAAACAGCTCTTTGCGAAATTGTATTGCCGAATCGAAATAGGGATAATCGGCTTTCTAGTAGGTTGATTTATAACGGCCTTTAATTCGGATCACGTATAATGAGTTACGAGTTTCCGGTAGCGAAAGTGATTACTATGAATAGAAGAGAAACGCGCGTTATTAAAATTTACGGGATTGAAATGAATTACATATTAGCTGATAAGTTTAATTGTCTTACTTGCGGATTTTCCACGATGGAATCGTCACAATTATCGGGACGAGGTGTGACGAAGGGCTGTAGGTTCGAGCAACAAATTCCAAAACTCGGGTTCCCATCTTCGCGGATATAGCTGCATGTGTCGTAAACGCCAAGAACCCAACCGTCTAGAGCACCAAGGTCCGGTATCTTAAAGTAAGGATAGCATTCCTTGAAAGTCGTGCAGCGACCGACTTCGCCTTTGGATGTTAGACAGGTCTCACGAGTCGTGGCTCCATTCCAAAGAACGCTCCGACCCTCTCTTGATTCAAACTGATCCGGATCGATCGCAGCTGCAAATTAAATTTTTACAACTTTTTATTTGTGTAAAATGGAAAGAGATTACATTCTCTGAATATATCCTTATATAATATATTCATCACAGTTTAATTTTGAACTTTTTGACACGTTATTGCCATCAGTCATTTATAATTTTCTTTTATATATACATATATGATACTGATATATTATTTTGAAAATTACATTCTAAGATTTATTCAAATATATTTCTTCTGTCTCTGTCCGTTAAAGTACCTACCTATACATATCGCGTTTATACCATCGCAAAATCAAGATGTATCGAGCATGTTTATGTCAGCACGTACCCGAGAATGTTTGCTTTAGCATGTAACCACATTAATCCGGAAGGCGTTAATATACTCGATGTGAAGGTTTTTCTAATGTCAAAAAAAAAAAAAAAAAATTACGATAAAATTAACAATTCCGTTCACAAATATCCGAGCTTAGAATTGTACGAATTAAATTGCTATCGTGAGAGAATAAATTGCATTTATACTGAAAGTAAATTTAAAAACAGAAAATGGAAAACTTTGCATAATTTTGTTGAAAAACTATTATGTATTATAAATTAGATTATTATTTATTATAGTATTAATAGAAATGATATATAAATGTTTTGAAATTCTCTTTAAGTCGTGTGAAAACATTATCTTGCATAGTGAATCATTAAAACATCATAATAGAATTCCTTCGAGATACTTAGCAGCGAGTTCGCTGACCTACGCGAAATACACAGGTGTACACGTACGTCAAAGGTGAGGTTTGTGCGTACTGGGAGAACTTCCGGTTACCGTGTATGGAACACGCGAATAATTGTTCGTTAATCGGTATCCGATATATAGAGATCTGTTTGGGGATTTTGCGATAGCCGAGGAGCAAAGATCGGTGATGCCAAAGAGTCATTGACCAGAGAAGAGATTACATAGAAATGGCATGCTATTGTTTCTTTGACTAATGATTCAATATAATCGATGATATAACATATAACTTACAGAAAAACAAGTTTTTCGAAACAAATTATGCATGAAATACTGAAAATGACGGGGAACTTTTCAACAAATATAGAATAATGCTAATTATCTAAAAATATCTTCTTTTTTATAAAACTATCAAATTGTTTTAATTTTTTTAAATAGCATTACATATAAAAGATTCGCTAATTTAAATTTTAATATAAAAAATCTTCAAATAAAAAAATTTATAAATCTTGCTTTGTAGATATCTTACTGTATATTATTAAAGTAAATTTAATCTATATGACAATTAAAAAGAACAATTCTTGCGCTGATATTTAAAACTGATTCTAGTTCTTAATCTATGTCATTTTTCAAAGAAATTATCTCAAATCCTATGGAATTTTTGAGATAATTTTTAGTTAAAATTATCAGGAAATATTTCACGAATATATCAAGAAAATGCGGACAAACTTATGTTTTATCTCAGCTTATTTATTAATAATATCTGGACGAGAAGTACACGCGAAATAGATTGTGGATTGATACCTTCAATGATGACTGCATCCTCCGGATTACTGTCATCGTCGAAATTCAGCGAGCTGGATATTGATCCTACAGCCGTTGCGATCACCTGTACCACGAGTACCAGCACCAGCATCGCGAACGACGACATTCTGCATGCCCGATTATTCATGCTCCGTGTTGCCAGTATCGCGAAGAATAACGACGCGCGGAACACGGGACTTGGGACCCACGTGCGAATACCGGCTGGGATCCTGAGCGACTCCTAAGCTGTTGAATAGCCGGTGCTCGAGCTTATAACGGGCTTGCCCTTCCCTCTAGTGCTTGGCGCTACTCTGTGCCTCCTCTTCGATATGATGGGCAAGGTGTTCCACGCTCCTTTATTCTCTTGCTCTTTTATCACCTCTATGGCTGTAGGATAGAGGATAGAGGATCGACGGAGGGCGCAGTAGGGATCAAACACGGTCTCCCCGATGTGTGAAATAATCCTTTCGGTTATTTATAGCTTGATGCGAAATAGAGATTCCACAATCAGAGGAAGATCACTATTTAGAATAACGCGAAAATGTTCAGTAATGTGTTCTGCCGTTGTATTTCTAAAAAAAGAAAATAATTATATAACAATTATTTAAAATTATTATTAAAATATGAAAAATGGGATGGATATTTTATTGTAAAAAGTATTTGATTATATGAAAATGAAGTACTCCAAATATACTTTTTCTATAACATTGCCGTATAATATATATAACAATATTTATTTTGTGTAATTCTGATGTTTATATAATTTCTCGCGACAAAATTCCTTGACAAATATTCGCAAACGATCCGCTGATCAATTTATACGCGCATGATAACACACATTTGTCTGCGTGAATTTAAGTTATATCAATTATGTAAACCGTATGTAATGGTCTTTGATCGCACGATTCATGTCCAACTTGAATGCTGCGCAATTGGCATTTGCATAGAGAGCACGATTCTTCGCACCTGGCCTTGAAGATGCCAAGAGAAGGCTGCACGTAAGGGACGGCCGTGAACTTGCTTACCGTGTGGTCCCCGCCTTCTCGTCTATCCCGACGATAGGTATTTATGCACTTCCTTCCGCTGAGAGACAGTGAATATAGAACCGTCTTTCCCCTTCGCCTTTCCACGTTTGTCGTGATCTTTTGTTTACTGCGAAGCTACTGCAGTTTTTCAACTTTTACACGTTGTGCCCGCGTTATTCATTTAATTACATGGGTAATAACTAATAATATTACATATATTGCATATCTTCTAATATGAAATATTTTGATATAGAGAAATAGATATTTCTTAAATTGATAATATAAAAAATTATATATATGATATCTCCTATAATTTCAAGCAAATAAAAACCACGAAATATTTCATCGGAAGCAAATATTTTTATGTCTATATATTGCAAGGCAAGCCTTCCTCTTTAGAAACAGTCCTGACTAGAACAAGATCTTTGATCTTGCGCGGAGGCATAAACAGTACCTTCCACGGGAGAGCCAAGAGCGAAAAGACCTTGAAGTATACATCAAGATTGCGATACCTGGGTCGACGAACCGCGTTTTGAAGGGTGGAGGGAGGAAGAGAGATTTTAAGCCCGTGCGTTCTTTGACCAGATGGTTAATAACCACTTACTGTCGACATCTCAGCGAGATAAGACTTTTTTTATCGTCGCTCGCAAAAGAGGGCTTGATAATCGATATGGACAGCGAATAATGTCTGACCTGCCAAACCGGACTTTGCCAAAAATACACGCGTATATTATCTAAGCTCAGTAATGGACAGTGATCGTGGGTGGTTGGACACGCATATTGTATCTTCGTATTTGTAACTGTCAAAATTTGATATATGACCTGTCAAATTTTGCAACATTTCTTCACCTGTTATGGGTATAATATTTTTAGAACGCAGATAGGATATCTCTCTTTGAGAGACTGACAAGAGGCATTGGTAGTGAAGTTCAATGTTCTTGTTCGAGTCACTGACCTCATTATTACAAGAATATTCAGCAATATACACGATACTTAATGCGCACATATAAAATTTGGTTCAAGATTTTGTATTGGCGCCACAATAAAATTGTGCTGGACTTTGCTGGATCCGTCCTCCGAAACATGCAAACCGGTTGAGTCGGGGCTGTTCGTAATTAACCGGGAGATATCAAAGTCGTTTGTTGCAATTCTAATGACGTTTATCCGAAAGAAAGAGCATTTAAAGAAAAAAAATCTGCATATTATATGCTGACACATAGATAAAGAAAAATAAACAACGACACAACAAAGTTTTACATATGGTTTAATTTTAAAGAAATTAATTAATTTTTATCTATTCAGAAATATTTTCGAAATGGGATTTAAATGGTGGGATTACTCTTTTTTGAATATGTAAACATAAACATAGTGTTTACAAAAAGGCCATAATAGGTGGTAATATCAGCGGAAATTTTATTACCTTCTATATATGTTCTGTTACTGCTTCTCTTTTATAGCACTATATAACGGAATAGACACTAAAACACGTTCGATTTCGTAACGCTATAAAATTTATACACATAATTGTTTGCAAATATACGAGTTATTGAATTTTATTATATAAAAAATTAGAACTGATTTTTATTAAATACTGGTATATACAATATACATATATACAATTAAATTGCATAAATTGAATTTATGTATTAGAAAAACTAGAGCACAATACATAGCGACATTTGTAGATTTACCGGTATCGTGCAAAAAATCTGATACAATCTTAAAATATATTTAGCTTACGGCTAACCTAATTTTTTTTATTGACCTCAAGAATTTTTTAATAAAATTTATTAATATTTATGATTTATCTCTCTGTTTTTTATGCGTGGTTTTTATTGACATTGTTTGCATTGAGTTAATATAATAATCAGGGCCTATTAAAAACAGTTTTTAATATGCATTGACATATATATGTGCGTGTATATGTGTATATGTGTGTGTGTCAGAGATTTAAGAAATATAACATAGTGAATTTTTTATTAATTTTTTTCGTGAAAAATAAATCTCTCTTCAGAAGTAACATAATATCTTGAAACATGAAATATTTCCAAGAAAATAATTTCTTGAAAAATAAAGAAGAATTTAATTTTTGTTCTCTATCCGAAAATCTTTCTACAAGAGAAGCGGTTCTTAAAAGAAACATAATTCAAAACAGTGTTAAAATTTTTTTACTAAATGTCATTTATATAGAGTATTTACAAATTCTATAACTTCACGTAGCTGATCGATACGCATTTCTTTCGCGCGGATAAAATAGAGGAAACATAATTTATGTCTAGAAACAATGGGTCTGTTCTTTATAGCTGAACTAGCTGTATTAGTTCAGAGCTTATCTTTCTCTTTTCAATGTGGAAAGAAAAAGATAAACTCTGAACTAGTGCAGCCAGTTCAGCTACAAAAAAACAGACCCTTTAATTTATGTCAGGGCCGGTGTCTTTATACAAGGTCGTGAATTTTCACACAATTGCCACTATACTAGCTGACTTCCAACTGTCGATAGTCGCCTGACTAAGTCGTGCCGTAACCACTTATATTCTCCGTATCCCTATTCCTTTTTTCATCCAAGGAAATACGCGAGCTGCATCCCATAATTAAGGTGCCAATTAATTCTCCTCTCTAGTTTTTATTTACAAACTGATCACGCTCTCATATCTTAGAGGAACGTGAAGAGATTCTTATTGAAAAAGATAAAAGATGATCGACCTAATATTAGCGATGAAAAATGGAGAAAAATTAAATAGAGCAAGACAACGAAAGAGAGAGAAAGAAGAAAGAGAAAGAGAGATGTCTAATATTAAAGAGAGAATTTAAAGATTCTAATAAATTATTAGACATCGATTTTTTTATATAGAAATTTATTATTAAATTTATTATTAATTTATTATCAAAACAATAATTCTATTTCATCTTATTTTCCAATCTGTTTTCTAAAAAAAAAATATGCAGTTACTTAAAAATCCGATATTTATTAAATAATACATCTCTTATTTTAGGTCTAATTTGTTCCTTGCCTTTTATCGAAAAATTTAGAAATTTATTTACGATCTTATCTCTGCGCTCATTCATCGACGATTGATTTATGTATTGATATCTGAAAATCCTGTCTTGCTTTTTACTAACACAATGTCTACTGACAATAGATACAAAAACAATCAAAGGAGAGATTACAATTATTTAAGACGGATTTCTCCCTTTTTCAAAAGAACTAACAATAAGCTTTATTTCAAGAACAAATGTATAAACTTATAGAGTGAAACACCAAACATTTCGTTGCTATTTCAAACATCAAAAGAAAATATTGCAATTATTTTAAATTTAAATTATCATAACGAATACTTTGAAGCTTCGAGAAATGAAGCAGACTCTTTGCAAAAATAGATAATTTGAAGAAAAATTTTAAGATCTTTTTATGAAGTTATGCATATTTAATATATGCTTGTTAATTATTTTTAATAGATATATTTTTACAGGATTAAAATAGATATATAAGGGAGATTTTTTCTGTAAAATTATTAAAAACTGTAAAATATATTAAATTCTTTATCAAGTTCGTATTTTAGAGAAAATATAACTACTAAAGTTATTATTAAAAGAATTGTCTCATTTTTTACGAATCTGTATATTCATTAATATTATATTTCATTAATCCGTTTCTTTTTTTTCATTGATAATTGTAATTATTAGATATTAATTTCATGATTGATGAGGATTAAATATAATAATCTCCCTCTCATCGAAATCGAATACATATCATACATTATTCATCATCTCGCGTTCCGTTAGTCGATCTGGTGCGATATAATACACGCTCGTTGGACGCTAATCGCATTGGATGTGTCATGTCAGGTTTTTTCGGATAAGCGATTCCATCGAAGTATCGGCTAGGAGATGGCTCATTAAAGTACGTCAGCCATGAAATGCGCGCGGACCTTTTGAAAGCGGTTGGACATCCTTCGCAGCATCGTTGATTTTGTGACACGCTCCTTTCGTTCTTTCTCTAAGACATGGAATCTTCTTTATCTCTTCTTATGGGTTTCTACGCATGGAATACCCTTTTTTTCTTTTAAATTCCTCACCAACAGGTTTCCTTCGGTCATTGCTTCGCGATCTGTCCTTAGCGCTTAGTGCGAAATGCAACAAAGCAAGAGTCCGCGACTTTTATAAGAGGGATGATGAGAAAAACGATAGAAGAATGACGAGTATCGTTCGAATATCGTGTTCCGAGATTGTTGTACATGTTTTAATTTTTCCAATCATATTGTAGTCGATTTTAACATATAGCCTTTGTCGCAAAAAGTTAATAGCATTGCTTAAGACGCTTTTAAACTCGAATAAATATCGGATGTATTATGCTAATATAATCGCAAATTTTTTTTAATCTCGCGAATATATCACGCAGTTCTGTAGATGGAACAAGACATGTTCACGGAATCATGCTTATGCTAATGAAAATTGCTGGTAAACGAACATTCGTACGTCGTCAAATCATAAGTCAATACAGAAATGATTGATATCGTGATGCAAAAGATACATATATGAATATCAATCTTTCGAAATGCGTACGAACAAAGAATGTCGATTCTCCATTTGTAGAGATGAAAAGATAAATGTTTTTATTTCATAATCATTTTTTTCCTCTTTTCTACTTCGGAATATTAGAACTTTACATTTCCTGTTTTAATGTTATAATATCCATCTAATTATCTTGAATTAAATTTTTTCTTAATATAGATAATAATAAAAATTTCTTAAATATTTAACAATTATTGTCATGAATATATTTATATATGTATGTCAATTTTATCAATTCTATCATTCAATCTTTATATATTTTTATATAATTGACTCACACACGTTTAGTTCTGCCAGATTTACACTTAATATCAATGATACGAAGAATTATGACTGCCAAGTAACATGATGGTACGACAACAATAAAGATTACAACACTTACCTCTATATATATATATATAGCAGTAATAAAGGCATGCAATTTATAAAACGTACTAATATAATATTTATTGTTGCAATAAACATCGTAATAATATAATATCACCTCTGGCACAATCTCAGCATGGCAAGACAACGCAACGGAAGAAAAACGGTTGTACTCTCGGCATTCTCGCATCTTATT